GGGGAGGCAGTGCACCGGGAATCGCTCTCGGCCTCTTAGACCCGACAGACAAACTTCTCGGCAAGGGAGTCCAGTACGGGCAGTCGACGGATCCTCACCGACACTCTCAGTCAGACGATGACTCGGGATGTGCCTTGGAGGAGTACACGTGGGTGCCACCCGGCCTGCGACCGGACCAGGTAGGGCTCCGAATTATAATATTAAAATGGCGCGGACTGTGCGAAAAAATGTCGAGCTGTTTGCTTCTTGTTTCTGTTGGATAATTTTACTGGCTGCTTAATGTGAGATCATAAGATTTTCTATGACGTAGGTGAACCACTTGGTCAGGATTATTGTTGTTCCCGATGTCATTGTTAGAACATTGATTAGCTACAATTACCTGTGAACAGCAGTTGCGTAAGGATATTATTGGAAGGGATTGTTGCTCAACAGTGTTGTCGGATGAAAATTAAACAGCTATCTACGTGATGTGGAGTGAAGAAAACGTTTTGAATGTTGTGTACTCCAAAGAGTACACCTCTCCCATCTCGTTCTTTTATAGTCTTATAGCCCTGTTTTGTCATTAGACCCTTGTACTGTGGGGGATTCTCATCTATGCGACAGGAGAAGTCCTTGGAATAAGGACCAGCGTTTGATAAACGTTTTCTCTCGCAGCAGAAAACTCAGAGACACATTTAGTATCTACTGCGGAGTACGATTTAAATCGAACTGCTACTGGTATCGGCTTCGTGTATGTCTCATGTCTTGAGCTAAGCCATTCGCAGTACAAGATATCAGAAGGTGTTGTTTAAAATAAACAAATCTTGTTAAGATGTTGAAAGACACGAATTAATTATATCGTTTGCCCGTGAATAAATATCTTTTGCAAATTATGAAAGAAGTAGCCTACATACAAAGCCTTGTGTTGTAGAAAGCGCTCTTTGCAGTAAGTGGCTTATGCAGTAACGACATCGGTCCTTGGGAACCGAGCGAGAGATGATCTGTGCATCTTGCAGTGTTCCAGCTGGAGGCTGTTGAATCCCTTCTACACCTGCAGATTTGTCTAAGAAGCATGGCGGTGAATGAATAAGAGGGATTAAAAATGTTCCCACTGTAACAATTACGGCCGCTTCCTTCCACATCCTTTCCACTTCATTACTCACTGTCATCCTCTCATCCTACGCCATGTACAGGTGTCCCAAAAAGATGCATACGCATTGCTGACTTATGTAACGTTTGTGTGTACGTCTTTTTAGAGCACCTGTAGTCTGGATACTGATAGCGTCTTTGCATAAACTATAAGTAAATAAATAAATTATATCACTAACCGCAAAAATAATACTTGCCATATGCACTGCAATCACGGCCCTATATTAAATCTTAGCTAACGTGCAACCCCCACGAAAGAGGGATTTGCTAAGTACGCTGTAGTGATATAGCCTACGCAAGAGTTTTAGAAATTCTGTCACAAATTTAAAGAAATTTGTGAGATGGTGCTTTCGCAGAAAACAGGCCTTTGAAATTTGCTAGTGGCGTCAGAATTAGGTAAAGAAGCTGTCCATCAGCCGGTTGTATGGCGCCTGTCTGTCTAGGTGATGACGTTGTAAAGTGGAATCCCACGTGATAGGAAACCAAACTTGGACTGTGCTGACAGATTTTAGTAATCTTCCCCATTTAAAATTTCACTAAAACTAGCACAGCGAGTCTACAGTTGTAACATGCGGACAGGTAGAAGGACAAACAGACCTGTATACACAATCATGTAGTGTATTAAATTTTACCACAAAACTGAAATCCGCAAAAATTTAGTCTCGCCTCACTGTACGAACAAAAATGAATTAAACTGTACCACAAACCGAAAAGTTCGAAATGGAGATACTAACTACATGCACTGTGTGCAGAATTATTCTTTGAATTCTACAACAAACTTAAAATCCGCAACAAATCTCTCTAGCTGAAAGGACGATCTCGTTACGTTTGCATTAAACGTTGGTGTACTCTCGAGCTTTGTGGCTAGGATGCTCGTTAAAGAAATTTGATGTTAAATGAGAGAGTTACAAGCTATATTAGTAATAGTTATAGGTAGTTACGTACTGCCTCGCAGTCTGCACACTGAAAGTTTATTACGCTGTTGTCTCAGAAGATAAGTACTACTTACAGGTCCGCAATAAATGCTTCGTGTTCTCAGGTTTGAGAAGCTGCCAATCCTTGAGCAGTAGCTACTTTCTGAGAGTACAGAGTTTGCAGTTTCCACAGTGTTGAAGAATGTTGGTTGAAGCCTTGAAGGGCGAACACGATCGTTACTCCGATATACATAATGCAATGCTGAATAAGGTATCTCTGAAGCTGAGCAGACATTAAATTAACACGAAATCACAAATAAATTTGTACTTAACCGAAATATAAAAACCTGCCGAATAATTTACAGAGTACTTTGTAACGAAAGAGAGGAAAAAAGAAAGTCTATTTTACATACGACGAAACATGTCAGTACAGAGTAATATAAATTTACTAAATAACTATGGCAATAGAAATCAAAGATTTAATACCGACAATACATGAGGAATATTTTTGCCACGTACCCTGGTCACCTCCTCACAAGACCACTTAATTACGGTATTTTAATATCCTCCTTTCTACTTCTTGTTCTCATATATTCCTTCTTTCCAAGATATTTAATGAATTATACGTAATTCCTCATTTATTTAATCTTAATTAAAGAAAAATTAAAACATCCTTATAATAAAACCTACATTGAAATTTATCCCGTGTGTATTGTTTTATATAACATATGTAAATTACCTGTGAAGTTTTTTGCTTCAAGAATTTGCTCGGTCTAGTAACATAAGACTAATTAGTCTCATAAGCATGCGATTCACTTGGAGTGACGGACATGATCAACTTCACACAAATACTTCTTCGTGTTGAGGCCGATATTGTCGGATTAAGGTGGTTCGAGACGGATTAGTCGATATCATATTAATACGTTTAATGCACGCATAGTTTCGATTAGATGAACTTATATTTCACCTAACCATTCGGCATTTATATATTGTACTGTAATTTAATACTGTGAGTTGCTATGAATGATAATTTTCATCGTGTAGAATGAGCGCACATTTGTTATGGAGTCACGCTTGTAATTATTGGCTTGTAGATCAGATTAATTCGGGTAGCTTCGTCATACAAGGCATTAGTTAACATTCTGTATAATTAAAGACTTACATTAGCATTAAATTAGCATAAATCAAGTGTAGCTTCGAGACTGATTATTCTATAATGCCTTAGGAACATTTCTTCATACGTCTGCTAATTTCCCAGAAGCGCCCGACCAACATTTAGCCTCCTCTGATTTCACATGAATTGTCTTCCTTCACGCAAACTCAGTAACTGTTCATTCTCTTTGATTCTGATGCAGTTTTTGCAAGCGGGATTATGAAGTAATGAAAAGTGTGTCCGAATAAATGGCACGCAAGTCAGCATTCTTTTGTTTCCGTTTTATCATTTTTGCGTAGAATCTTCCTCGAATTGTTGATATCGATGATTCGTGTAATGTTTGTAAAGGTTATATACAGTTTAATAAGAATTAATGTTTTTTTAAACTTTTAATTAAGTTAACGATTATACAGCAATTAACCGAATAGGTCAGGGGAATTTTTGTCCTAATTTAGCATCTGAAAAAGTGAGGATTCTTCCTATAATTACGTACAAAGCAAAATACATCACTTAGATGGATATTACGTCACTAGAAGTATTTAATATTTTTAATACCTATTGTTGCGAGAAGATAATAATTATTTCAACTGTAGGTCTGTATGTGTTTTAATGAAGATTTCATGGTTTTCCCTCACTCCCTAAAAACAATTAAAATAAACTAATATCTTTTCATCCCATAGCCATCATTCGCATTCATCGTATCGTTTGAAGCTGTCCATATAACATACGCACTTTAATATTTTTTATCTATAGCCCAAGAAATAATCATTAATCATTGAAGAAGAAGTTATTTTTGAGTTGAGGACAACTGCGAAATTTGGTGATATCCATTACTATAAACAGCGGAAGGGAAATAATTCTGTGGACACGTTGCAAATTAGACAGAGAAACGCATATGTGCGAAGAGACGGGGCGTAGTTCGTCAGTACTATGTCTAATAAAACTGGAGTTCAGCTTTGCATACAAACCTCCGCATCAACTTTTACTTATCAAAATGCTAATGAACTCGCCGCTTTGTGCGGTCTGTGACGAAACTACCGGTTGTTTCTGATGAAGATAGTCCGTCTGTTTGATCGACGAGAGGCTAATTTTCCGCTTTGATCCTTCTGCATACCTACAGCACGTCAGTCACGTTCAACTGGTCCACGAGTTCCATTCTGCAGTTGATTAATTTTGTGATCGTCACTCGAGTTCATTACAGCTCGAACCACGCAACTAATGTTTGCATCTGCGCGTCTCGTACCGAGTTATTATGCTTAAAGCGTATGAAATCAACGAATAACACTGAAGCCATGTCTGTTCGTTCGTCTGCATGTTTCACCTCTGAAACTACTGACAGAATTTTGTCTGTATTGGGGGGGGGTTTTGCGGAAACTACCTCAGCGTTTAAGGTTAACATCGAGTTTAATTTTGGTTCATATCGGCTATGTATAGTCTCTATTCTATGTGAACGCCAAATGTAATTTGCAGATTTATTCAAATACATCTCATTAAACAAAAAAATTGACACGTGATTTACAATTTAGATCCGTTCTATTATATGCCTACGTGTTTACGTACTGTACTTTGAATATTTATCGAAAAGGGCAAAAGCAGACTTCATGTAGTGTAATAGCTGCAGTGCGATTGTGTTTGCAGCAGTCTAATAGCATTGCCAGTAGATATGACAGATCACAGAAAGGATGCATTTGGAAAATGTGTTTATCTTCACGTCTCCGCGGTAGTTAAGTTCGTTTCATAAATTACAAGTTTCTGAAATCGAAGTGCTTGGAAAGATGCTTTGATATAAGGGATAAAGTGAGTAAGAATTTTACAGATGATTCGTTCAGACCTAAGTATCGGTCACTTACTTGATGCTTTCGTTATCATTTTTAATCTGTTTTCCTTAATTTTTAAGGAAAGAGAGTGACGGGGTATCATCATGCCTAAACGCCAGTACCATTGAAGGCCGCCCAACTTTTATACTTAATAATTCACACTAATG